ACGCCAGGACGTCGGCACATGCCAAGCGCACGCTAACAACTTGCGGTGGCGCTCGGGAGCGGCGCGCTCGGCCAGCGCGTTACACGCGCAACCGCGACTGCGGGCCCGAATGCAACGCCGCGTTCACAAACCGTGCTTGGGCGCGCGAAGGGTCGAACGCAACAGCCTCGGCGCGCTAGCGCGCTTGGCCCACGCAGGGCGGCGCGCCGGGCCGCCACCAGAAGGAAGGACAACACGTGCGATGAAACAGCCGCACAGCGCGAATTGGTCTTGAATGCGCTTGGGCGCAGCGCTGCTTGACGCGCATCTTAAACTGGGCAGGCTGCGCGCTTCCCCCCGCGGCGTCCACGGCGAGGCGCGGGGCTTGGCCGTGGCGCCCTTTGGCCTCTGCGTTGGCGCCCGAGCATTACGGCGCTGGCCTGGTTACGCGCCGCGTCGCTCTGCGCGGGCTCAACCCCCACTGGCTCGTCGGGCACAGTGGGTGCAATCGCGATCCAGAGAGCTCCGCACGCACAACTGCCCGTTGCAACGTCGGCTGGCCGCTTTCGAGCAGCAGCCGCTTGAACTTGGACGCCGCGCGTCGTTCAAGCTGCTTGCTCGCCCGCAAGCAGAGGAGATGATGAAACGAGCGTTGCAGCGTAGACTGCCAACGGGCCGACGCCTCGCTCAAATGAGGCAACCGCCATCAGACGCCATCGGCTCGCGGCCGTGCGGCGTTCGCAATAGCCCCTGCGCGCGGAGCTGCGCGTCGGGCTCTGGCGATGCCCCGCGCAAAGGGCACCCTGGGGCAATCCGCAAGAGGAGGTTTGCAGCGCCTCGTCGGACGCCCGCAGGCCCCGCTAGAATGAGCCATGGAGGAGGAGAAGGATGGGCATGATGATGAGGGGGAGGAGGGGAAGGGTGATGATGATGAGGATGATGCGTAACGCCTCGCTGTCCGTATGTTCCTCCTGTGTTCGGGCTGGCACTGGCCATCCTCCTCCTCGTTCGTGCCCCCCTCCACCTTTCTTTACCCCTCCCCCACTATGCACGCGGTCCGACGGGACAGGTCGCGTCGGAACGGGGACGAGGGCATCTTAGACAATGCCGAGGGTGGGAAACGCCTGGAGCGACCAATGGCCGCGCGTGGGGGGAGGCAGCGACACGTGCGATGCACCTTCTGCCCTGTCCCCCGCGCCAGACGCTAACCACCCTGGCCATGTCGAAGCAGCCCTGGGTGCGACCCTGTCCCCGCCCCTCAACCCCTTTCCAACTGTCAGCTTAGGGGCTTGCTGTATGTCTGCTACGTCGCGGTGGTCATGGGCGGCTCATGGGCGCGCAGAGCGAGCGCGAACGGCCCGACTGTAATGTGACATAGCACACCTTACTTACGTGCGAAAGTCCCACGCGAGTGGATCTGAGCGTGAATGGTCTGAGCACGGGCGAGCCTGATCGTGACGATATGAGTGCCAGTTGTGGCAGCACCACGTGAGTCCCTGAAGGGGGCCCTCAAGCAACTCAATGAGGCCCCGCGGCATGCCTCAAGGCCATCCCCCAAACAAGCACCAATCCATATTTTAAGAGTGGCGCAAAGAGAAGACAACACCACAACCCAAAGATACCCCCAAGACACCAAGCACGCCCCAAGACACCCCCAGAAGGCCCCAATCTAACCTAAGGAGGGCCCACATGTACCAGGCGGGCCCCACGCTTTTTCTTGTTTTTTTTTTCAAGGGTCGCGAAGCGGCTCGCCATCCACATCGCCGTCGTTCTCGACCCGCTCCTTCTCGGCAAGGGCCCTGAACGACGGGTCGCCGCTGGCCAGCGCCTCTCGCCGCGCATCCCTGCGCTCGGCATGGTCGGGCTTCCACGCGTGGACGTGGTCCCATCGCGCGATCCCCGTCTCGTCGGACACGCCGAGCCACGCGCGCATCAGGCCGAGGCATCTGCCTTTCGCCTTGTTGCTCTTCATGTCTCGGCATACCCGAGTGAGGAAGCACCCAGAAGACTCGCCCTGGTGAGACGGCACCAAACACTGCGTAACCATGGTGCGCGTCGTGTCGTAGTAGCGGATGATGCCGCTGCGGTGGCGCACTGTAATCTCAGCAGGCGTCTTGCCAAGATGTTTCGGGCCTGCCGCAACTCCCCCGCCCAGCGCTGCAACTGGGTGCCCCAGCGGCGCCGCAGGCGGCGGCTCGGGGGGCGGCGGCAAGGGCGGCTCGACGAAGACGTCCGCCACCGCCTCCTCGATGTCGGCCGCGGCGTCGTCATGCTCGCCTTCGCCGCCGTGGCCGCCATCGGAGTGAGCATCACCCCGCTCGCCGCCGCCTCCGTCACCATCGGCGTCCAGAGGGTCGCTGCCGTTGCCAGCGGACTCCGTGGTCTCGCCGCCGTCCTTGTCAAGCTCGGACGAAGACTCGGCGCCGTCGTCCTTGCCCTCGGCGGAGCTGTCGGAATCCGAACTCGACGGGCCCGATGAGCTCGAACTGGAAGACCCGCTCGAGCTGGACTTCGCAGGGTCGCTCGCATCGCGATCAGCAAGCGCAACTGCCCTGCCCCTCCCCCTGCCACGCCCGCCGCGCCCGCGGCCCTGGCGCCCAGCGCGGCCCTCTCCTGCAGCGCGCTGCCGTCGGCGAACCTGGATCGGCGGCGGGTCGACCTCGGGTGTCTGGCGGCTGACGTACAGCTTCCATGGCTCCACGTTGGCGACCTGCCTGGGCCGAGATACGAGCTGCCAGAAGCTGATTGTCATACCCACCTCCATCCCCAAACTCCCGATCATCTCCCAAAGAGATCGCCAGAACATCTTCGGATCCTCGACCTGAATCGGGGATACCCCCAAGACTTCGCCAAGATCCCTGGAGGGGTCCCTCTCCAGCTCGACCACCGTGGGCGAGAAAGGCTTCTGGAAATCGAAGGCAACGTGGAAAAATCGATGCTCGAATCCGTCGCCGCCAGCACCGCGCTGCACGACGTCGAACGCCAAGCCGTCCGCGGCACCCGCCTCGGCCTCGCAGCGGGCCTTGGCGCTGGTGAAGCGGAGCACGCCATCGCCCCTGGCCAGCAGCGCCTTCGTCGGAGCGCCGCCCTGGCTGCTTCATGCAATCGCAGCTGCGATGCAGCCGCGCAACCCCTGAGCCCCGCAGGCCCCCCCTCACGAACCTCATCGGGAAACCTCTGAGACCCGCAAGGGCCCATACAAACAAGACACATGCACCCGTGGACCCGTTCGAACGCACAGGGGTGTTGCGCGACAGCATGGTACCCTCCCCACTGAAGGCCTTCAATGGGGGCATTCACACCCACCGAAGGCCTGAGCCCTGAAACGGAAGCCTGCCAGGGATGTGATGGAACCGCTTCGGTGGCCCCTGGGTGTCTTACACACGCGGACGCCGAACCCTTCAAACGGCTGGGTTGCCGACCAAGGCGTCCTAGGGAGATGTGGGGGGCGGGGCCGCAGGACTGCAGGTGGGGGGCGCCCTGGGCCGACCCCCCCCCCCCCCCCACCCAATGCAGACGAGAGCGCCGAATCAGAAACGCTCCAGCCCCCTCCCCATCTTCGGACAGACGAGGTGTACTTCAGAAGACCTGGAGACAACGGGCACTCGACACAGCGGAGGGCCCAATGGGAATCCGATCGCCCCCTCCCCCCGATGAGGTGCGGTAGCGCACCCCTACCTCCTAAGACGTTCCGAAGCCCTCTCGGATGTCTCTCTGAGAAGCCCCTGTGGCATCGTTCGCATTTGCTCGAGGCGGCCTTCGAAGGCCGCGGGCGGCGGCCAAACGCAACGGGCCAACGGGGCACATTCAACGTGAGAGGACCCCACAACGCCCAAAAACAGCAGGTGATGATCTGATGCGCTGGCCTCTTCGTACCCCCCCCCCACCGACGCCTGCCCTCGAGAAGTCTCCACCAGGCCCCCGAATCATACGAAGGCTTGATCCTGCCCCCTGGAAGACCCTGGTTGCGGTGCCCCGAAGATTTCCTAAGGCCATCTCGCCGCGCGACCCCTACCCCCTGAACGCGCGCGAAAGCCAAGGGAAGTCCTCGAGGGCCGAAGCCTTCAAGGACGCCACCGCGGCCCTCGGCGGACGCCGACGACATCCTGATTGCAAGAAGCCTCCAAGGGGGCGCGCGGGTGCCTTGGCGACCTTCTTGCCCGACAGGCCGCGAAGGCTGGCGAACGCAGCCTTGATGTGCCGCTCGATCAGCCGCAGATCCTTGCCGTCGCCCTCGTGGGTGCAGGTCTCGGCCTCGCGGCAAACCCTGCGGTCAGACGCAACGGGGTCCAGGCGTGGCACGGTGGACTTCGTGAGGGTCCTGTGCATGCCTTCCCACCTCGAGGCCAGCTGCGGTATCGACTCGCCGCCGCCGCGGCCCAAGTTCTGGCAAGCGTCCGCAACCACGCTGGGCGCGCGCCTGCGATGCCTGAGGACCGCCCCCGTGTCGACCTGGACCTCGACGTCGCCGACGGGGGCTGCGGCTCGATCCACGACCGCCAGCATGCTGCCGCCCTGCGCCTGCGCCTGCCTGGACGCGCGGGCGGCGTCGCGCACCGCGCCCGCCACGCGGGCCTCATGCGCGCCATCCCTGCGACGTCGGCGGGCAGCCGCCTCCCGAGCAGCCACAGCAGCGTCCAGGATCAGCGAGCGCGCGTCGGTGAATGAGGACCTCTGCGGCGCACCGCCGCCTGCTGCTGGACGCTGCGGAGGAAGGCGGGTCGGCTCCAAGCCGAGAGCTGCCACGCCGTCCGATGCCGATTGCGCTGTTGGTGCTCTTCGACGCCTGTCGAAGCCACGCTCCCCAGACAGATGGCGACCCCTCGCGATGGCAGCCAACAGCCTGTATTGCTCAAGCTCGGCCCCCTCCAGCTGAGAATACATCTCGGACAACTCTGCAGAAGACCCATCAGATATGTACACGCCGTTCACGTGCACGAATGCGCGCCACATCCACTGCTGCAGGCTGTTGTGCCCGCGCCGCGGATTACGCGCTTCGCGCATCCGTCTCTGGGCGGGGCCTCTCCGAAGGTCTGTCGGGGAAGGTGCTGAATCGGCGTCGAAATCACCAGCCGAATGCGCCGTGAAATGGGCGCTCACCTCCTCTAGGGTTTCGACCTGCGTCCAAACCCTGAAGCGCGCGCCCCTCTGGTTCACCGAATGCACCCGCTCGACGGCGGCGGTGTCCATGTCAGCCATGGCCAAGGCGCCCTTCAGCTCATTCGCCGCCTCTGGCGAATCTAGGCGCCCTGCGTAGAACCTCGCGAAATCCAGCGTGTAGCGGTCCAGACAGCACGGCTTGGTGCCGCGAAGGTCCTGCAAACGAGAAGGGTCTTTCAAAGAATACAGCAGGGGCATCGGCCAAGTCCGACTGGTCCTGTGGACCAGCTGGTATGCAACCGCGCCCATCCTGGACAGCATGCGGTACAGCTTCAGCGCCGTCGCCTCCGTTCGCACCTGCAATGGCGACCACGATCGGGCGTCGAAGATGGACGCGTAAAATAAGAAATAAAAAAAAAAAATAAAAAAAAAAAAAAAAAAAAAAAAAACGTAATACAAAAAAAAAAAAAAAATTAAATAAAAAAAAAAAAAAACAAAAAAAAAAAAAAAAAAAAAAAAAAAAAATAAAAAATAAAATAAAAAAAAAAAAAAATAAAAAAAAAAAAATAAAAAAAAAAAAGAAAAAATAAAAACCAAGCGCCCGTGAGCAGCTCAAGGGTGTCGGCATCCTCATGCGCCAACCACGCTTGGTACGTCCTCGGCTCTCCGAGGGAGACCTTGTGCTGCTGCGCCTTCTCGAAACCCGAACCGCTGGTGGCCAGCTGATTCGTCGCGTACTGGTCCGTGCGACGAGCCAGCACCGATGCGATGAACAGGTCGTCCGCCATCGTGCCGCTGAGCACCCAGGCGCGGCTGCCAGCAACTCGCTGGTCCTGCTGCTCCTTGAACGCGTTCACGTCATCCACGTCAGCTGCGCCCTCGGGGGCTGGGCCGTCGGCCGAGGGCTCTGGCCGATCAAGGTCGGCACCGTCGCCCCCAGCAAGAAGCCCAGCGGCGCCCACTGGGGGCGGCGCACCAGCGCCCGCGCCAGCAGCGGCACCTGGCGCACGGGCTGGCTTCGCAGGCATCGTGCGCAAGTAAGCTGCCTGAAAGAGGCCATGAACAGATGCGGGAAGCCCGATGGATCGGTGACTTCGCATCTTGTTAGCCCAATTGGCCCTGTTGAGAACGTCCATCTTTCCGAACAGCGAAGCAACCCCAAACCTCCTCATCAAATACAGCGTGTGTCTAGGAGACGAGCAGCACCCTCTACAATAGTGCTCAATGACGCCATGCTTACGTATGTCTCCGTTGTACAAGCGCGTGACCACCTCCCTGCGGTACGCCAGGGTCGGGTCAGCTGAGCCCGCGAAGTAGAGGTCCCATATGGCGTCGCGGTGCGCAGTGGCATCTGCTGGAGGCACACCCCTCTTGACCACGAGCTGCTCTCCATGGAGCAACCTGGCTTGGTGCCGCAACTCGAGGACGTGGTCGCCCGTGAGGGACATCTGGCAGCGAACAAGGTTCGTGTCGAAAGGCCTGATCGTGATGAGCCCCTGTTCGGCGACCTTCTTCTTCTTGTGAGCGCGGCACAGCAAGATCAGCTGAGACCTCCGAGGGAACGCCTGCTCGAACGCACGTTCGTTTCGCAGGTTCCCTGATGCCGCGTCGCAGCATACGATGTCCACCTGCCTGGGTGCCCGTAGGTCAAGCACGCCATCACAACGCAAATCCAGCTGCCTGCGCAAAGCCGCGTGCACGACCTCAGCGGAAGAACCGTCGAGAACGGAAAGGTGCGTCGGCACGGTGCCGCACATGTGCAGGAAGCTCGATGCACCAGCGGCCCTCCGTCGCATCAGGAAGCCGAACTCGCCCTTCACGACGAAGATCTCGCGACTGCCCGTCGTGCGCTCGTTGATGACATCGTCATCGTAAACCTGCGACACGGTGGTCGTGAGCTTCATCCTCGTGCCGTCGTACTTCCGCTTTCGGAAGAACACCGCGGGGTCGATGACAGCACCGTGCTGCTCACGAGAACCCACGCATGCCTCCACAAGGCGGCCAATGGTGGACAACACGTGCTCCTGAGAAGCGGCAAACGCCGAGTACGCAGCTGCGTGGACGCGCTCCCTGAAATGCCCAGGCGCGATCCCGAGTCGGCCTGCCATCGCGGTCGCCGACGTCAGCGAGACGACGCTGTCATCAGGGTACCGCTTCTCCACCAGCACCCGCGCCAGGCTGGCCAGCGGTCCTGCAGGAGGGCCAGGCGGGCCGCCACCGCCTGTTGCCGCCTCCAGCGGGCCCTGGGCGCGCGCAGGCGCGGGCTGGTGCAACATCAGCTGCTGGTCGCCGACCAGCTCGGGGCTCGGCGCCCGACGAGGGCTGTCGGCGCCCCAGCCCCACTCCTCCTCCCCCGACTCGACGGAAGCTCCGCGCCCTCCGCGCCGCCATCCAGCCGAGCATCTGGAGTCGGAATGGAGGGCACGCCCCATTCCTCCTCGCTCAAGAAGGCCTCCGAAGGCGAACTCATCGTGAGCAAAAGCAAGGCCGAAATAAATGTGAGCCAAAATGGTTACGGAACGTAGGACGCTTGCTACCCTCTCTGGCGGGGGGGGGGATCCATGGCGGGGGTCCTTGTTACCCCCTCTGGGGGGGGGCCCTCGTTGCCCCCTCTGATCGGGGGGGGGTATGTTCAAGGGAGCGTTGCGTTAAGGGACGAGGCCCATGCGGTTGCCACCAAACGGGGGGGATATACTTAGGGGGTCTGTTTTACTCATTTGACGACCCTCGAAGCACTCGAGACATCCTCCAAGCTTCGCGCATTCCGCCGACCCCCACTAGGGCCGTAAGAAGAGCATGAACACGAATTGCCCCTGGCATTGTGCGCCGCGCCCCGTTACACACAGCCTGGCACGCACGACGCGACAAAAACGCAGATTCGACTGCGAGGTGATATAGTCACCGATTACACAAACCCTCTGTGGCTGCAGCCCTACAAAAACAAAAATGGCATCACCATTTTCCTGGAGGCCCAACGAGGACCATCAGACCCCTTACTCCGAAATGCTGCCCCGACGCGGGCCTCATCATACCTCCAACTCCGAAACGACGCCGTTGAAGGCATCAAAACCCATCTAACGCAATAAGACGACATAGACTCGCCAGGGAAGTCTCAACTCCAGGGCCCCACTACTAACCGGGTCCCCTTCCCTGGGGCCCTGGCGAGGCCCGACGGTGGGCGGGCACGCGGCGGAACCACGGGCACGCCCCCGCCGGCGCCGTGGGGCGCCCACGGGGCGCCGCCCGGCGGCCGGACGCGCAGCGAGACCCGGACCCAACCGCCCCAGCAGAGAGGGGTCCTGGGACACATCTTTTCTGGACCAGCGGAAGAAGCCCCACTACTCATCGGGCCCCCTTCCCTGGGGCCCTGGCGATGCCCTCCCCTGGCCGCCCCCGAGAGGCTCGGGCCGCGGCGGCACGGGCCCCGCAACTCGGAGCGGCGGGCCGCCCGCGCCGGGAGCCACCGCGCCGGCCGCGCCGGGATCAGCCGGCGCCACACGCCGCACGCGAGCAGCGCGTGCCGGCAGTGCCCCGGCCGAGCGCCGGGAGGGCTTCGAGTCAGGCCGGCCGAAATTGTATACACTTCTCGATTTGTGCGTGTCATCCTTGCGCAGGGGCCATGCTAATCTTCTCTGTGTCGTTCCAATTTTAACGGATGATCCCCGAAGGGAATCGAGTCGGGCCAGCCGAAATGGGAAGAACCATGTTTAGGGGAACAAGAAGTGACACAGACATAAAAAAAACTCGGAGGTCCGCGCGGATTTCTCGGATCCGCGCCTGGACCCCCCTCCCTGGCGCGCGGAGCGCGCCAGGGGTGGCGCCGGAGGCGCCGCCACAGGGGGCCAGCGCGGATGCGAGAAATCCGCGCGGACCTCTTCGTTCCCCTAGCTTTTTCCTCGGCGGCGAGGCAGAGGTAGTCCGCACCAGCGAGGGAGGCCAGTCGGGGCAGCCGGAGGGCGAGTTTGGCCAGCACGCAAGAGCGGGGAGCAGAGACAGGCGAGGCGGCCGCAGAGGGGGGAGGAGCGGAGGGCACCCAGGCGTGGAAGAGTTGCACCCCGAGCGCGCTGGCGCGGCCAGCAGCGGCGAGAGATGGGGTGAACAGGCGATGGCATAAACAGAACAGCTCGGAGGTCTGCGCGGAACTAGGAGTTTTTGTTTTTGTTGTTTCTCCTTCTTTCTTTTCTCTTTTTTAATACTACATGTGTATGTCAGTGTTCCCCGCCCTAGAGATTGATGCCCGCCTCACCTCGTCCTGTCAGTCGGCCCTCCCTCCAGCCTCGTCGGGGGGGAAGTGGAAGCTGGGCGGCGAGGCGCAGAAGGAGGCAGAAGGGCAGCTCGCAGCAGGGGAGGTCGAGAGCTTCAGAAGGAGAGAAAGCGAGAGATGGTGTTACATGGTGTGAGAGAGAGAGAGAGCGAAACAAAAACGAGAGGGATAGACATGTACATATAGGGCAAAGAGAGAGAAATATCACACAACCACGATCGATACCATCTTATACATAAATCGACGCATGCATACATGTGTATAGCTGGTGGACACGGAAGGTTATGTACATACCTTGTACACACATATTTACATATATGTATACACATAACGAGAGAGGCAGAGAAGAGAGGGATCCATACATACATATATTGTTAGTTTTGTAGTGTTTACACAAGGAGAGTAATGCCGACACATTCGAAGAGAGCGAGGGCGATAGAGAGAGAGAGAGAGAAACCTCCTGACATACATATCTAGAGAGAGAGAGAGAGACAAACCAACAATCGAGAGAGAGAGAGAGGACGCTGTAGAAACAAACAATGGAGGAGCCGCCATCGCGAGCGCCTAAGCGCCCAACCCACTGGGGCGATGAGACCCTTCTCCTCGAGGTGGCGGATGGCCTCGAGGGGAGCTTCTGAGCGCCGCTCCCCCCGAGGCTGCACTCGAATATCACCAGTTCAAGCCCTGACCTGAACGTCTGCCCTGCCCTGCGTTTCTCTCGCATCTGTTCCTCCTCGCCCATCACGGCTGCAACTGTGAGACTGTGAGATTGGTCTTTCGGGCATTGGGTGACGTGTGCTCACCGCGTTGGCCGCTCGAAGCGAGTAGCGATTTGGTGAATGGGCTCACCTATTACAAGTTGGCTGGTGCATGGTTCCATATTGTTGGTGCACTCTCGCGTCATACTGTGGAACGCTCCCAGGACCTGAACGTACGGCAAATTCGTATCGTGACGACCTTTGCGGTGGTTTCTGGCACCGCGTGGTTCTCGAGCCGCCCACCCTGAAAACAACAAAACAACGTGACTACGGAATCGCTCCCAAGCCGCTTCCCAACCGAACATATGCTAACAAAGCATGGGCAACCCATTACCCGTGGCCGGGGACATTCTGACCCGGGTCAATCCAGACCCGGGTCAGTCAAGCCTTGCAGAATCCTGCAAGATCCTGCACCCAAACCCGGGTCAATGCGAGGGGTCCTGCAAGATCCTGCACCCAAACCCGGGTCAATGCGACCCTGGCCCTGCAGGATCCTGCAAGATCTGGCGCCCTGGCTGACCCCCGTTTGCATTGACCCCCGTCTCAAGGCTCCCGAGGCCTTCACTCGCGAAAGGTCCCGGCCCTATCAGCCAGCGCACGGGGCGCCCACGTGAGCGACGATCCAAAAACGGGTCTTACTCGAGCCGACGCAGCGACCTCACGCGGCGGCTCACGCGGGCCGCCGGCGCAGCGCGCTGCATTGGAGACGAGGACGCTTACGCGCGACCTTACGCGTGCAGCTGACGCGCCAATGTCGGCCTGGCCATCGCTCGGACGTCCATTTCCCGTGTTTTTTATCGGTTTCGTGCGAAGTTTTTTCGCCAAATGATCGAGGATGCTCCTCGATGGTCCTCGCCGAAGGAAACATGCACACGTCCGAGCGATGCCAAGTTACGCGTGCAGCTAACGCGCCAATGTCGGCACACGCGTCCCCATTTTTTTGCGTCGCTCGCGTGGTGTCCACGGGCGCGCGCGTGGCGGAACTCTGATTAGGTCGGGCATCTCCTCCCACAGGCGGATTTTGAAGGACAAATGGAAAACTGTCAAAACATATTTGTATTTTTCCTCGCGCCCTCCACGACGCCCTTTATTTGAAAGTGATTCACCCCCAAGACTGCGAAATCTACATCACCTTACGAGCGAATGCGCGGCCTTTACGAGGAGGGCGCAAACAAGTGTATGTTCAAGTGTCTTACTGCTTTGTTTTTCCTCCTTCTAATCATCGCTGGTCAAAAACAATAGTAAACACATTGTCCCCAGACTATTATTGCCTCTATTTTTTGATATTCCTCCTGCAGAGGGACATGCCCGACTCAAAACTCTGACCAGCCAGGCCAGCGCACGGTCGGGCGTTGGCAGAACTGGGTTTCAAGGGACCTGGCTTATAATGATGTGTACGGGGGGACGCCCCCCCGCCATGTTCCACTCACTGGAACTGCCGTCGCCCGCGAAAACACCGGCTATACGGCAGACCTGGCTCAGTGATTCTGGCCAATTTCGGGGCGCCAACGCCCTACTACTATCGGGCCGGGCGAAAAGGGGGGATAACAAAGGGGGGGGTTGAGAATCAGCTCACGTAGCTGATTTTCCCGGCGCCTCCCGGCACCGGAGGCGGCTATGTATCGAGGAATGGGCCCCTCGGTGGGGCCGAAACCAGCTGCATGCAGCAGATTTCGTAACCCCCCCTTTCCCAATCCCCCCCTTTCGTCCGGCCCGATACTAACCGGGTCCCCTTCCCTGGGGCCCTGGCGATACCCGACGGTGGGCGGGCACGCGGCGGAACCACGGGCATGCCCCCGCCGGCGCCATGGGGCGCTCTCGAGGCGCCGCCCAGCGGCCAGACACGCAGCGAAGCCCGGGCCCACCCCCAACCGCCCAAGCAGAGAGAGGTCCTGGGATACAACTTTTCTGGACCAGCGGAAGAAGCCCTGCGGCGAGGGGGGGAACAGGCCATCGCTCGGACGCCCATTTCCCGTGCATTTTTCGGTTTCGTGCGTGTATTTTTGGCTCGATGGTCCAGGATGCTCCTCGATGGCCCTCGCCGAAGGAAAGACGCACACGTCCGAGCGATGCCAAGGCCCTGCGGCGAGGGGGGGGGAGGGGGAAAGGGGGGGGAAGGGGAAGCGCGGCGGCCCGGCGCGCCGCCGCACCGTGCACAGGCACTGGCCTAAATCTGGGGGCCCAGCCCGGGGCCACGGGGCGCGCCCGCAGGGCCTCGCGCCGATCAGCCGATCAGCCAATGTGAATCAAATGGGCCAATGGCCAATCAGCTCGGGGCCCTGGGACACACAGTCAAAATAGGCACGAGTCCCAGGATGATGTTCTCGGGGTTTTCGTCTCCCCCCCCCACTTCCCAAGCTTC